CAGGCCGTCGGTGTCTCGACCGAAAAACTCCGCTTCGTTCGCGGCAGCTCTTACCAGAAGAACGCCGACTACGTGATGGACGTTTACCGTCTGTCCTCCGTGGTCTCGGAGCACGATGCGAAGCGCGCCGGTGCTGAGATCGTCAAGCAGTCCAACAATGGTCCCCTGAGTGGTCTGTTGTACCCTCTCCTGCAGGTCCTCGACGAGCAGTACCTGGATGTGGACGCTCAGTTCGGTGGTCTTGATCAGCGCAAGCTGTTCGCCGCGTCGACCGAGTGGCACCCCAAGCTTGGCTACAAGAAGGTGAGAGCATTGCCATACTCATTGCCAAACCACGAACTCAAACTTACACACCTTAGCGCGCGCATCTCTGCAACGCCATGGTCCCCGGTCTCTCCGGTGGCAAGATGAGCTCCAGTGAAGAAGGTACTGTCCACCATCCCACATTACCCCCTCCCCTCAGTCAACCACTAACACCTACCAGACAGCAAGATCGACCTCCTCGAATCCGTCGACAGCATCAAGAAGAAGATCCGCAAAGCGCAGGCCGCTCCCAAGGAGATCGACAACAACGGTATCCTCGCCTTCGTCCAGTACGTCTTGCTGCCCGTGGCCGCCCTGAAGACCGGCAAGCCCGAGTTCCGCGTTCCCCGCGACCGCGACGGCCTGGAGCCTCTGGTGTACACCGACATCGAGAAGATGCACGAAGACTACAAGAACGACATTGTATGTCCCCAACCACCCTCCTCATAACCCATAGTATCCACACCATACTAATCAATTCCATCCAGCTCTCCCCCCAAATCCTCAAGCCCGCCGTCGCCGACGCCATCGTCGAGCTTACTGCCCCCATCCGCGCCGCCTTCGACGCCAACCCCGACTGGCAGGAGGTCACGCTGAAGGCTTACCCGCCTCCGGCCCCGAAGCAGAAGAAGGAGAAGAAGCAGAAGGATAAGGGCTCTCGCCACCCCGGTGCTGCTAAGGAGCAGACTCCTAACGGGGAGCCTACCAAGCCGGCTGAGCAATAGACATCAAATTGCATTGCTAAAACTACTACTACTTAAATAGTTATGGATTTTTTTTTATATTCTTATTGCGTGTCTGATATACAATTGCATGTGTGAGCAGCAGCGAATTAGCTAGAATTGATTGGACTTTTACTTGAATTTGTGATTTTATGCGCTGGGTATTTTATTTCTCTTTCTGATGTGGTTGCTTTTTTTGACCGCTATAGAATTTAGTCTGAGTGCTTTGTAACTAATCAGTTGGTTTGAGTACTACTGGTAGAACATACAGGAAATACATTCTACAGCCTGTGAACAAGGTTGACAGCGAAGCAATTTTTTTATAATATAATAATAGACCCATCCTCATTAATAATTTTAAGCTAATGTCGTCACAATCCGGCCGTCATAAGAAATAGTAAATCAAATCGTAATCATACATGTTAAGAAGCGAATAAGGGAGACCACCACCACACTGAGACAATCACATTTCGACCGTAAGATATGCGCCGACCGCCATGATATGACCAGACCTGTTAAGGTATCGTAGAAAAGCTAACAATAGGAAAGAAGAAAGAGAAAGAGTAAAGGCGAGAAGGCTAGCATTCTAGTCCACCTTGGCGAGAGCCAGTTTCTTTGGTGTGGTTAGGTTGTTGGACAAGCGGACGTTGGTCTTCTTGTTTTTGGTCTGCTTCTTGAGCTTCTTGCGCGCAACCATTACCGGAACGGATGAGTGCATGACCAGATAGTTGGAGAAGGAGCCGAGGAGGACGCTGTGAGAGAGGTCATGTCAATTACTGTCTGTTGGTGTCAAGTTGTAGGTGGGTGGAAGCTTACCCCTTGAGTGCGCTGCGGCCTCTGGCTCCGACGATGACCAGGGTGGGATCAAGTCCATCGATCTAAATCAGTTAGCAATGTAAGAACGAAGAGTGAGGAGGACACGTACAGCTTCAGTGATCATGTGTTTTGGGCTCTTGCAGTGAATTGCCTCGACGGCTACGCGAACTTGGAGCAACGTCTTGCGCAGCAGCCGAACACAGGTCTGCGAGATAACTTCGACTGCATGGACACGTTCCGACTCGGCCTTGGACATGCCGCGAGCATCCACCGAGCTCGGCTTGCTGTCCGTACCCAGACGACCGAACAATGCGCGAGGAAGGTGAGAGTTTGAATCGTTCTGCGCCTTTTCGGCAGTCTCTGCGGTCTGTGACCCAACCACGGCCGCCGCATCTTGAATAGCTTTGGCGCCGTCGCCGATCTGCACTGAAGCAGGCGTGGCGGTCTCATCGTGCATAGCACAGACAGCGAACATGGTGTCACCGTCCCGGAGGATAGTTCCGATTGTCCACTCCAGCGCATACACAGACTCCTCGCTCAGATCAGTAGCGACAAGGTATTTGCGTTGCCGTCGGCGGCTGCTCTCGGTCTCTTCCTGTGCCTCGGCGTAGTCTCCACGAATGATCGTCCGGATGGACCGATGTTGGACTGTGTTGTCGATAGAAGACATCTGAATGCCCAATTTCTGGGCTCGCTTGATATCGGACAGCTCTGCCTCATCTTCGGATCCAAACGGAGTGTTGGTGGCCGAGGCCGAGTCGAAGCTGGTCCGTGGATGAACATCAGGCTTCTTCAGCACAGGTCCTTGTTTCGCTGAGTGTATCAATTCCGGTTTATCCGCCGTATCGGGATTTGGACGGAATTCAGGTGCAGTCTTCGTAGTAGTGAGCGGCTTTGGTCCAGGATTAGCGGAAATTTCCTGCTCGACGGCCTTTTTCCGGCCACGCTTGACGTCTGAATCGTCCTCATGAACAGCGTCTTCGTCGCTAGAGGTGGATTCGTCGGCATCCTCGTCACTGGTCTCAATTGGATTGTTTTCGCTGTCAAAACGATCCTTCTCCAATCGCTCCTCGCCCGGGGCCGACGATTTGGCTTCAGGCTCGGGAGACCCTGGGCGGGAATCCGGATTAGTAGGTTCCTTAGTCGCAGGCACCATTGGGCTGGTCTCCTTTTTACTGGCTACCACAGGTGGTTTCACCGGATCGGCGACCGGTCCACGCGTATTGGGGTTTAGCCAGCGGCGCTTAGGAGAGCTAGAGCGAGCCGGTCTGAGAGAGGAGACTCGAGAGTCGAGAGAAGTTCCGCGCGTAGCATTGCTGCGGCTACTGCTAGAGTCCCTGCCTCTGACGAAACTTGGGAACCCGACTTTGAGATCCAGCCCTGACATCACCGCGGCCATGCTCGGCAGCCGATTGGATGGTTTCTCCTGAGGTTGTTGAGCAGCATTCCGTCTGGCCGCATTGCGGTTGGCGACGCTGGGCGGCATATTGGTTGACAAATCCCAGCGGATGCTGGGACCAGACTTATGTTCCGGCTTATTTGGATTCTGCTGGTTGCTGGCGCCGTTGTTGTTGTCTCCCAGCTTTTCTTTGTCGCCTGACGCCAAGTCGGTGGATCGGGTGGGGGAGACTGATCCGTCGGATTGGACGGACCCTTTCCTCTGCGCAGAAGGCAAAGGGGGAGCGACAGAGGATGTAGTGGCGCGGGGAGTTGGGGGAGCGGTTGTTGCAGTGGCGGGCGATGGATTAAAAGTTGTCGCGGTAGTGGTAGTGGTAGTGGTAGCGGTAGCGGAAGAGCGACGAGGAGATGAAGGCAGTGGAGAATGAGAAGAAGAATAGAGTGAATGATGTCGGACTGAAGAGGGGGGAGTCACGCCCACGCCAATACCGGCGATGGAGCCATGCCGCGGGGGTAAGAAGCCGGGACTCGGTGAGATGTCCAGCAAGCTCCGGCGCCGAGACGTCGAGGGACTCTCGCCCATCTCCTCTAGCAACTCCCGTCGCTCTTCCTCCAGAGCGGTCTCCAGCGACATGTGGGCGGGCTTTCTGCTATAGTACGGCATGGTGGGCTGTGGGGTACGACCTCGCGCTTGTCTTTGGCTTTGCGCGGGCGGGTTCCAAACACTAACCCGTGGGCTAAATTATTAATGTGAATCAAATGACGAACCTAGCTAGCTTCCCAGCTTCTGCCAGTGCCCAGCTTTGGAATGTGGAGAGGAGGGGAAATGGTCATAAGCTGCTGAGATTCCGAGCTTTGTCCCCAGGTCCTGTCCCGCTTTTAGAACCAGGATTCTCTTCTTTTAAGGTTGCTATTCCGTTGCAGGAGAGCTTCTTACGTTGGATGCTTTATAGTTATAAGTATAGACCCAGCTGAGGTTCAGATAGGATCTTGAGGAGCACGCGACAATGATGGAGCTGGATGGAGACCGGAACTCCACGTGCGCAACGGCTGCAACTCAACGGCGATCCTCACTCAGTGCGTTTCTACCTCGGATGATACCGAAGAGAAGAGAGGAAGGCTGGCGTCTGGCCAGCAAGCCGACGGAGAGGAGACAAAGTAGCTCGGATGCCTCCGTGGACGGTGAACAAGTGTGAAGGGAAATGAAGAAGGATAGGGTAGCTTCACCCAGCTGTGTGGGGAGAGGATGAAGAAGAAGAAGAAGAGGAAGAAGGAGGAAGGCGAGACGACCAAGTTGGAACAAGCCAAGGCGTCCAAAAGCTCGGCATGGCGGGGTATCACGAACAATCAGCGAGCAGTTGGCTGATCCTTATAAAGCAACGAAGCACAATCAATCATGGTGACCCAGGTGGTGCAAGGTGCCACCAACCGGTGATGAGCATCCCTTGCATTGACCCTCCCCCAGGGCTTGATGCTGGCGATCATCCTGGGGAGGATCGGTTGGCTGGGAGAGAGTGTGTGTGTGCTGTTAGTCTCACACTTTCACTCCTGCCTGGATGCAGCTGGAATGCGAACCCATCGATTCTTCACCAATCGAGGTGGACCTGTGTACGCAGGATGCAGTAAACCGGCTGCTTAATTATGCTGGAGGTGAGGTGTTTGTTCCTTCAATCACGGCCGAAGCTGTCATGGTCACGTTCTCTCCTTTGCCCCCTTCAGCACCTCCTTCCCAATTACTAGCGGTCAACAAGGTATGCCTGTCTTATTACTGCCAGCACTACTACTTATGTATTGGGCACTCAATGATAGCAATGTGCAGAAGTCAAAATAGAATCCCAGGGTGGGAAAAAAGGCAAAAGCAAAAACAAAAGCAATGCACTCCCATGCCTGATTGCCAAATCACTCAATGTACCATGCCGCGAAAGGATATGTCCCTACATGACCTGAACTCCCCAACCCCAAAGACAGCACTAGTAGTGATAAAGAAAAGAGAAAAATAACGCATGAAAGACAGTCCACCCAAAGATAACACACCTCACCCCTTGGTCCTCTTCTGCTTCTTCTCCCCACGCGCAGCCATTTCTTCGAATGCCGATTCAGGAGGACTCGACTTTCGCTTCTTCCTCGTCTTCTTGGTCTTGCTCGGCCCCGGCCCCAGCTCATTAAGCTCACTATCCACGTTATACTTCTCCTCCAACCGATTGATGAGGCTGTCAAGACGACCAAGGTTCCGCTGTTTAATCATCGCAGCCAAGTCACCCACGTCCTCGGGGCCATCCTCCTTCTTCCTCCCTCCCTTGTTCTTCCTACCCGTCTTAGACTTGTTCTCCTCCATCTCCTTGCTCACTTGTTCCGCCTCCTTCGCTTCCTTCTGGGCCCGCTTCAATCTGGCCTGACGCTTTTTAACCGGCTCCTCCGTGTATTTCTTATACTTCCCGGCCCTTCCTTCCGCAATTGCCAAATCAATGATGGCGCGGAATCGCTCATCATCATCAATGACATTACACAGCATCACAGAGTCGTAGATTTTATCCAGATCGCCCCGGTGGACTTCATAGGCCTGCAGGATATCCTTGACCTCTTCCTCAGACCCCTGGTATTCCTTCTTGAGCTTGTCGATCGCATCGACATCAACAGCAGTCGCGAACTGCTCCCGGTAGAACTCCGTCCAGTCGAAATCCTCATCTTCGTCCAAGGCGTCCTCCGTACTACCGGTCTTATCGAATCTCGCGCGGCGACGTTCATCAGAAAGGACGGCGTAAGCGAAGGCGATTTTTTGGAATTGGCTGTTCGCTTCTTCTTTCTTGCTCGGGGGTGCCTTGTCTGTTACTGATGATTAGATAGCCCATCCCACACAAGTGATAGCTAGATGATAGATATAGTAAAGTATATACGTACCAGGATGATGCTTCAGCGCCTTCTTCTTATAAGCAGCCCTGATCTGATCTTGAGTCGCCTGGTCATCGAGACCGAGAATCTCATACAAATCAAGGACCCTGCGCCGGGGTATGATTATTTGACCGTTTTCATCGCGTTCGACCTTTTGCCGCACTTCCTCTTCCTCTGAAAAAGGCCCCTCTGGATCCTCCCCAACTTTCCATTTGTAGCGGTGGTGGGGGTTCGTGATAGGCATCTGGCCAAGAGACCAAAAAGGTCCAAGTAGGTGACTAGAAAAAGAAAAGGGGAGATGTGTCTGTTAAGAAAAATGGAACCAGCTGAGGTAGAAGACATAACACCTCGGCCGTGAATGTTTCTCGCGCAACGCAATCAAATCAAACCAGACAAACACCCCCAAAACGCGCGGGACGCGAATCCCACTTATCTTTCCTAAAGAAGTTTAGCCCGACCAGCCGGCATCAATCGATAACCTAACTTTCAGATAGTATTCTATGCGGTCATACTCTTATTCCCCCCACTCATACTAGCTAACTATCACATAAATAACTCTTCTTCCCCTTCTCTACACACAGCACATACACACATACACATACACATTCTACACCAATCCAATCCAAACACAACACCCACCGAAATGACCACAACCACAACCACAGACTCGGGAATCCCCAGCACCCCCCACCTCACCTACATGACCCAATGCCTCACGCTCGCGCGCAAAGCCCCCGCGCTCCCAACCAACTTCCGCGTCGGCGCTCTCCTCCTCAGCCGAAGCAAAGCCGACACAAGTCCCAGCTACTCCTCCGACATCCTACTCTCAACCGGCTACACAATGGAACTAGCCGGCAACACGCACGCCGAACAATGCTGTCTATCGAACTACGCTTCCGTGCACGGCGTGCCTGACGAGGAAGTGCACACTGTCCTCCCCCACGACAACCCTGAAAGGAAACTAGTCATGTATGTGACTATGGAACCCTGCGGGAAGAGACTCTCGGGTAATGCGCCGTGCGTGGAGCGGATCATCAAGACGAGACAGGGTGGGGAGGGACGGGGAATACAGAAGGTGTATTTTGGGGTGAAGGAGCCGGGCACGTTTGTGGGGCAGTCGGAGGGGGTGAGGAGGTTGGAGGAGGCGGGCGTGGAGTGGGAGGTTGTGCCTGGCTTGGAGAGGGAGATATTGGAGGTGGCGGTTGAGGGTCATGAGAGGGAGAAGAGGGAGGAGGTGGTGGGGAGGGCGTTGGAGGGGGTCAAGACGGATTTGGATAATGTTAGTGAGGAGGAGAGGAGGAGGCAGGAGAGACAGCCGAGGAATCCTATGAAGAGGATGATGGAGGGGGAGACTATGATGTGAATTTTTCTTTCTCTTTGTGGGGGTTGGTTGGTTGTATACTAGGGTTGGGTTGGGGTGGTGGGCGTGGGCGTGGGCGTGGGGGTTATGTTGATGCCGCTGGCGGTATTCTTGTCTTGTTAGATGTGTATAGTGGGTAAAGGCTAAGGTGCATAGTATGTATGGCTTAAGGGTGACGTGTGATGAAGATTGAAGGACTAATTACGAAAACCAAGATTTGAAAAGTGGAATGCAGCTTGGATAGAATGGAGTATCATTGGCATGCTGGACATGCTTCGGTCCTTGAACCCTACTCCCTCACAGCACGAGGTAGTAGATCGGTATTATTGTGTCTAATGTACCTGTCTAAGCTCCCTTCAGAGGATCACCGCTTGCTCTGTAATCGGTATCGGAGATAGCGACGGGACTGTATCCCATATGGTCCATTCTTGCGGTGGTGCGCGGGTATCATGCCCTCCATGGTTCTATCCACAACCTAGGCAATATTTTCAGTCACACATCGACCAATCGATCAGCCCACCTGGACACCCTCAAGACCCTCGAGGACCTCTTCACCAACACCCCCCTTCTGCAAGACCAGCTTGAGCATCTTTGCAATCGTGCGCCGCTTGACACCACCCCGCCGGGGTCTCCAAACGCCGGCGACCTCTTCGCCAGTAGACGGGTCCGTCATGGCGGCCTCTTCCGCAGCGGCCGTGGAGCCCAGAGTCGCCACGTTCTCCGAGTTCGATACACCCGGCTGCGTAAGACGAGACGGGGGGTCGACTGTGCGAATAGAAAGCAGTTTCAGGCCATCCGAGTCACTGTCCTGGGTGACAGAAACAGCCAGGACCGTATCCGCAACAGCAATCTCCTCCCTGTTAGGATCAAAGATGACATTATCGCCCACAGAGATAACAAGCAGCGTCACAGGAGGCCGGACCTGCTTCGTAGAAGAAAGACGAGGCCCCGACTGCGAGCGGGGGTATAGATATTCAGCGGCATTCCAATCATCATCGAAGAAGGGATCTTCCTCTCCCTTAGACTTGAGCTTAGGCAGTTTAGTCGACAAAAGAGCCAAATGAGTCGTCAAAGACAGCAACGGCAACGGATACGACAAGGGCTGAGACAGCAGCAGCACCTGCACCAAACATCATTAGCACCATTCATTCACCCCTCCTCCCTCTCCCCCCTAGAGAGATCACTCACATCAATATACAACCTCCAATGCCACCTCTTATTAATAACCAACCTCCCCTTCAACCCACCCGCCATCTCATCCCCACCCATCCCATCACCAGCCCCAGAAACCGACTCAACAAGCGGCTCGCGCATCATCTCCGACAAGAAAACCGGGAGGGCATCATCATCCCGAAAACCGGGGATCTCAATAGACATCTGCACCCACGATCCATGACCATGACTGGAGGTCTTCTGGCCCTCTCCGCCTTCATTATCGGCATAATCTTCTTGCGTTTGCTGTTGCGATAAATTCAGCGCCTCGGCTGCAACAACGGTCTTTTCCACCTCCGCTTTGACTCCCACAATGGCTTGCGTGCCGTCGGCGAACCCCACGCGCGCGCTACCGTTGGTGCCAGGCAGAATGTCTGTTTCTGCGGTCAACGGGCGGAATTGCGTGGGCGAGCGGCCGTCGGGGCGGATGGGGCCATCGGGGAGTGATAGTGATGTGTAGAGGTAGGAAAGCTCTGCTGGGGAGATGAGGGGCGTTTGGGAGGCGGAGGAGGCCTGGCGTTGGGCGGACATTTTGTGTGTTGGTTGTTATGGATTTTGAGGTGAAGATGGTGGAGATTATATTGGCAGGTCGATTGGTAGCCTGCGACTTCGTTTGGGGTTTGCTGCAAGTCTTGCGCGGAGGGATGGCTGACGGTGAATGGTACCGCGCGGGGTTTGTTCGCGGTAGATTGAGGCTTCAACGGTAGTGCCTTCACTTGTAGGCGCTCTGGATCAAGCCACTCACGCCAATATAGAACTGGTAATCAGCGTCGCGACAAATCCAGTCTCGATGGGAACTTTTGACGTAGTGCTGCATTGGGAAATTCTGCCGGTGGGCGGGGAATGGTTGTTCCGTGACTATCGCCGGGAGTACCCAAGTTGCATGCATACAACAGGAGAGCATTTGATAGCATCACAACACTACAAGCTTAATTAGTAGTTCTACAAAGAAAAATTGAAATTTAAATGATAAGTATGTTGACAGACAGTGTCTGTTCCATTAACAGTAGATATAAACAGACGGCTCTCCCGTCGGGTAAGTCCTATATTACAAAATTGTTCAAGCCCAGAACCAGCCACCAGTGCTCCTTCCCAAAAAGTGGTAAAATTGTACAATAGATGAATGGAAGTTCTTTTGTTCTTGTGGAGGAAGCTTTCAAATCGCTTCCCATCCGCGCATGAGACAGAAAGGAATGAGGGGGGGGGGGGGGGGGAGAGAAAGAATGATGAGGGAGGATCAATGCCCGGGAAATATACAGAGGGGTGAAGGGAGTTTGACAAAAGGAAATGGTCGACTGCAGGGGTCAGGGCAAATGCGGGAAGCTGAGTATGCAGGTGTAAAGAGTATATATCGAAGGAATGGTAGCAGACATTGCGACTCGCGCGATTGGTATCAGTGCAAACAGATGAGCAATGTGCAGGGGATGTTAGGATATCAAGGAACGAAAGACATATATGCAAGTGGTATACCGAAAACAAGGTGCGAGGCCGACGGTATCTATAAAAGGGCCTTTGGGGTATGAAAACAGAACCAGACAAATGAAAGAAACCCGGGCTGAACCATGGCCTATACAAACATGGGTACAAATCAAAGCGCAGGATACATAAGAACAAAGACACAATGAAATGTGGGAAAAAAAATGAGAAAAGATAAAAAAGCGGCCAACCTCCGTGGATAAAAGAAACAGTAGACACCAGATCCCATACGCCTTGCTCGGTTAATTCGCCGATTCCGCGCGTGACCACCACGTTTTTGTTCTTTTGATTAAATATGAACAAGATCTGTGAAAGATGATGAAGGAATGAAAAGAGTTGTGCCTTCTCCAACATGGAGAAGCTAACGACAAGTTGCTGAGCCCGTCAGGAACTTTGCCGGAGCTGGCTTCGCCCAGTCACCATCTTCATATGGAGGGGTTGGCCATTGGCGACTGGTGTTTGCATCCGTCTTCTCCTCCGCGAGGGGCAGGCGTCTGCATGGCGTTGCGTCTGAGTGACCGAAGCAGACGCCATCGCACTTGGCGGATGGGGAGGGAGTAGGATAAGGACTGGGCAGGGGGCGAGAGCTGTCGTTACCCACAGCTGGGCGACTGTAGTTCGACGAAACTTCCGATGACACTTCAGTCTGTGCCAAACGCCTAGCAGCCCTGCTCGCCGAATGCAAGACCTCATCCAGCAGCTCGTCCTCCTCTTCGGGAGTCTCATAGCGGTGGATAGGGTTGTTCGACATCTGCATTGCGCGCCTAGTCCGGCTGGAGATTGGCCCGCCAGTGCCGCTGGTCGAGACAGGGCTTTCTCCCATCGAGCGAATCGAGCCCTGCGGCATAGATTGACGCTTGGTGCTCTCGATAGGGGAAGTGATTTGCACGGGAACGTTGCCAAGGGCGGCCGAGTCAAGCGAATGTTTTACAGACTGGAGCGCCTTGTCCAGCTCCGAGAGATCGGAACCCTGCTTGGACTCTCCAACGTTGCTGACAGAGTCCAGAGCCAGAGAGGACCGGTTCGACCAAGGCATGCAGCCAGCGTTGGCCTCAACATCGTCGGTACCAGAATTGGCCTGGTTGCGACCGGATAGTCTGCGAGCGCGCTTGCGGAGGTGCGAGAAGAAGCTCTCCTTGGGGGTCACTGCGGAATACACGGTGCCCCCGCCATTGAGCGCTCTCTCTGCTTCTTGGCGGTGGATATCAGCGTAGTGATTACCGTGCGAGTTGACAGAAAGCTGTCTGCCAATCTTCTTGCTCGCCTTGCTGGCGTTGGCACTGTCGCCTGAATGG